GCTAACCCCCTCGTCTCATGCCCCCGCAGCCACCAAGGGCCCCGACGACACCTGCAGCCCCGACCAGTTCACCTGCGTGTCCAGCCGCACCTGCATCCCGGCCAGCTACCAGTGTGACGAGGAGGCCGACTGCCCCGACCGCTCCGACGAGGTCGGCTGCAGTGAGTGCGGGCGTGGGGTGGGCTGTGGGGCCTTTCCCCCAGGGGGTGAGGGGGATCAGCCAGCTGGCTTGGCAGTGGGGTCTCTGCCCTCCGAGGAGGGGTGGGAGAGCTGTGGTCCTGGGGTGCCCTCCCCTTGAAGCTGCTGTGGGGCAGCCTAGGCCTGGGGTGGGGGTCGCCCGCCTGCCTCACCTGGTTCCTCCCCCTAGCACCGCCGCAAGTCATCACGCCCCCCGAGGAGTCCGTGCAGGCCACCCCCGGGCAGACAGTGCGCTTCCGCTGCGTGGCCGTCGGAGTGCCTACCCCCATCATCACCTGGAGACTCAACTGGGGGCACATACCTGCCAACAGGAGGTAGGCTGGGGGTGGCCCGGGACACCCCCGGGAGTGGGGGAGGTGGTTTCAGAAGGGGGCTCTGCAGTGTGTGTGGGCTCTGCAGTGGGGGAGGGGCGTTGCAGTGGGAATGCAGTGGGGGTTGGCGTGAGGGGCTCTGCAGTGCATGGGGGCATTGCAGTGGGGGAGGAGCATTGCAGTGGGAGTGCAGTGGGGATTGGCGTGAGGGGCTCTGCAACGTGGGGGGGGGGATTGGGGGGGGGGGGGGGTGTTGCAGTGGGGGTGCGGTGGGGGGTTGGTGTGAGGGGCTCTGCAGCACATTGGACCCTCTTGCCAGGGCTCCCTCCATTGGGACTTGCGGGCACTGCCCTTCCTCCCCTCCCCAGAGTGTCCATAAGCAGCGAGAACGGCTACGGGACGCTGACCATCCGGGACGTGAAGGAGGCCGACCAGGGTGCCTACACTTGTGAAGCCATCAATGCCCGGGGCATGGTATTCGGGATCCCTGACGGCGTGCTGAGCCTCATGCCTCGGCATGGTGAGTCTGGGGCCCAGCACCCGCCCTTCCCACCAGCTCTGCCAGCCTCAGACCTGGCCAGTGAGCGCAGGGCCCGGGGGGTGGGTTCACTTGTGTGTGACCTCCCCAGCTGTGGCCTTGCAGTCCCTGGGGAGGGGGGAGTTGAGCCTGGACGGGGAAGCAGGGTGGGCGGGAACGGGGAACCGACTGGCGTCTGGGGCTCACCTGGGTGAGGTGAGGCCGGAGGTTCCTGGTCAGTGATGGTCCCATCACCCCCGCCGTGGGCTCCATGGCACCTCCCTGCCCCGCCCCATTCCCGCGTGGGGCTGCATCGCACCGGGGGGACGTGGAGCCAGGTCCGTTACGTGCCCCCAGGGCGCCAGAGCCTATCGTGGTCTCTCTCCTCTCCCGGCAGGTCCCTGCCCCGAAGGACACTTCCATGTTGAAGGTACCTCCAGGTGCCTGGCCTGCTTCTGCTTCGGCATCACCACGGCTTGCCATGGCACCAGCCGCTACCGGGACCAGATCCGCCTGCGCTTCGACACGCCCGATGACTTCAAGGGTGAGGGGCCGGGAGGGGCAGCTGCCAGTACTATCCGGGCCCTGCCGTGCAACACGCCCTCTTCCTCCCTGGGCCATGGGCACTGCCCTGTGGCTTTGCCAGGGCGAGAGTCTGGCTGTAGTTTCCCAGCTGGGCAGCACATCTCCCTGGGAGGAATGCCCCCCACCAGGGCTGTGAGCCCACCGAGGTGGCCTAGCCTCAGGCGTAGTGCTGAGGGCCTCGGCCCCCTGCTGCTGCCAGGCTGGCCGGGGAGGGCTGCCGTGGGCCATGGAAGGGTGGCTCAGGTTGGCTGCCCAGCTTGGAAAGCAGGTTAACTAGCAGTTAGTAGAACAGCCTCCAGAGTGGCTGGCTGCAGACAGGGCTGGGGTGGAGGGGTTTGTAGGGCCCTCGTGGCTGGACAGTTTTCTCTAAGCTGGCTCCTGGCCAATCAGGCCCCACTCTGGTTCCTGGCTTGTGCAGCAGGTGCCCTCATGATGGGCCAAGGACTGGTACAGAGCTATTCCACGGACTCACTCTGGCAGCCAGACCAGAAGGGTCTCATCAGCCGCAGCTCAGCTCTGGGGGCAGGAGGAGGCTCGAGGGAGGGCAGCAGGTCTTGTGGGGGGCCCCTCGCAGCAGCCATCTCCCCTTGCAGCCCTGCCCCTCTCCATGCGGGTGAGTGCTGTGCTGGGCGCTGAGCCTTTCCTCCTCCTGGCCAGGTGTGAACGTGACAACACCAGCGCAGCCGGGGACGCTGCCCCTCTCCTCCACACAGCTCCAGATCGACCCCACCCTGCAGGAGTTCCAGCTCGTGGACCTGTCCAGGAGGTTCCTGGCACACGACTCCTTCTGGACGTTGCCCAGCCAGTTCCTGGGCAACAAGGTGAAGGGCCGGGATTGGGCACACCCCAGGGCAGGGAGGGGACAGCAGCCTGGGAGGGAAGGTGGCAAGCGGAGTAGCCCATCTCTCCGCTGGCACCGTCGGTGGCACAGGGAAGTGCCCACTCTGCTGGGGGACTCTGGAACAGGAACTGTGCCACCGCGCATGGCAGACCAGTGCCACATCCCCAGGGACCTGGTGACTGTGCATCCCGGCTGGTGCTGGAGAGCAGAGGGGCCCCTCTAGACACGCAGCCAGCAGCAGCCTCGCGTGGGGTTAGAGCAGGGGCGAAGGCTCTGGCTGTACCCTGCCCATGCCCCAGGAGCGCCCCCTGCTGGCTGGCCACACACGACACACGGTCTGGTGGGGTCCCGTCAGCGAAGAGCCAAGGGGTAACCGTGATGGCCGGAGGCCCTGTGGAGGGCGAAGGAGGGGCTGGCAGGAGGAAGGACCATCTCTGGGTTCTTTGCCCGGGGCTGCCAGCTCCCAACTGCACGCTGACCTGAGCTCTGTCGCTGGTTGCAGGTGGACTCCTACGGCGGGTACCTCAGCTTCAAGGTGCGCTATGGGCTGGCGCGCGGCCAGTCAGAGCCCGTGCAGAAGTCCAACGTGGTCATTGTGGGGAATGGGCAGAAGCTCATCTACCGGGTGCAGGTGCCCACCCAGCCGTCGGTCGTCAACCAGCGCCAGATTCACTTCATAGAGGTGGGTGCTGCTGGAGAGGCAGCGGGCCCCACGTGCCCAGGGAGGGCTGGGGGTTTCCGTCCCGTGCGGCATGCTCTCTCAGCCGCCTGTGCCAATGACGGCGTGTTCAACCTACTCCCTTGGCTTCCAGCAGGGCTCTCGCACCGTGCGGTGGGTGCTGTTCTGCTGCTCATGCCGGCTGGCACTGCCGTGCCCGGCTGGCCCCTTGCAGCAGCGGGAGGCAGGCCCGGCCGGGCGACCGAGGCTCATTCTGTGGCTCACCAAGTGCCCCCGCATGCCTGTGGGCAGCTCCAGGGGAGGCAAAGGCAGCGGGAAGCTGGGGTGAAGGAGACGAGATGCTGAGACCCGCCACTCGTCCTCAGCTCCTTAGCGAGGCTGTCCCGCACTGGGCGTGATGCCCTCAGGAGAAACGGAGGCTGCCTTGGCTCCTCCCTGGCCCCTGATTGCCAGGAGCACATGCCAGGGGATTCCCCTGCTCTCCAGTCACCGGGGCAGAGGTATGCGGACATGGTATGTCGCATCCAGTGCGGTTGTCAGCGCCATGAACAGGCTTCTGGAGCTGCTGGGTGCAGTGCTGGGATGCCCCCTGGTCCGTATCGCCCTGTGTTCCTGGCACGCACTCGGGGGGCGAATGCAACATTGTCCCTCCCTGGGCCTTTCCCAGGAGAACTGGCAGCACGAGTCGGGCGCCCCAGTGAGCCGGGAGACGCTGCTCCTGGCCCTGCAGAACCTGGAGAGCATCCTGGTGCAGACGGTCTACGACAACAAGATGGCGAGCGTGGGGCTGAGTGACATCGCCATGGACACCACCACCATGGAGCTCACCAGCCAGGGCGTGGCGCAGGGCGTCGAGGAGTGCAGGTGCCATCAGGAAACTGCCTGGGTTGGGCGGGGGGAGTCGCCTGCTTCCCAGGGAGCTCAGGGGCCCATCGTTCTGGGCCCAAGGAGCCTGGGACTGGCTGGTGCCTCTCTTCCCTGTGTGCACTGTATAGCCAGGACGCACCGTTGCTGCAACAAGGCCGGGGCCCAAACTCGGCTTGGTCCCCTGTGACAGGGCTGTGCCCTGCTGCTGTGCTGCAGGCCCCCATGTGCCGTGGGTCCCCCAGTGCCTGCCACGGGTCCCCCCGTGTGCTGTGGGTCCCCCAGTGCCTGACGTGGGTCCCCCCAGTGCCTGCCATGGGTCCCCCCTGTGTGCTGTGGGTCCCCCAGTGCCTGACACAGGTCCTCCCAGTGCCTGCCACGGGTTCCCCTGTGTGCCGTGGGTCCCCCAGTGCCTG